CTTGTATTCGGTCTTCTTGCGGACTCCGGCGGTGCAGACAAGCCCGTCGTCTTTACACCTCTTGCAGGGAAACTCTCCATCGCACTGAAAAGCGGCCTGTTAGCTAGCTGAAAAGATGAGGTTGGTAGGCAGTGATGCCCACCTTGGTCTTCTTCATTCTACACCTCTCGCAGGCCTTCCACACTCTCTTGTGCCTAGCGTCTCCATTGTGTGATGAGTGGGCGTCGTGGACGGGCGAGGGAGGGTGTCCATGATAGCTGGTGCGTTTTGATGTCCTGTGAACGGCCTTGACTGACTTGGAAGTGGTGTAGTGCCTCCTGTGGCCGAGGAAATCCTCATTGGGTGGTGTTGGTAAGCCTTCCATTGTGTGCTGAGTGTATGTGGCGATGGCTTGCTGATGTCAAACTGTCAAGTCAAAGTTCGTGTCTTTCAGAACCGAAAAATGTGTCAAGACGATGGTGGCCAGAACAGGTCTTATAACAGTGAGCTAGATCTAGAGGGGTGTGGGATTTAGAGATAATATATGAGAGCGAGGTGGTTTGCACGGACAAGCCAAGACTAGTGATCGAGAACGAAGAGGGGGGGAGTGGGTGCATAAGCAGCGAGCAGAGGGAAGGAAGGAGGAGAGCAAGGGATTAATAATGAACCATCGAGTATGAAGGGCTGCGCGGCCCTCTCTTAGCTATGAGCGAACTGACATGGATGACGGGTACATCAGGTATGCTGACAGGGTTCAAGGGGACCGACAGGGGCATAAGGAACATGGGGACTTGACTGGGGACTGGGGTCTGGGGACACAAGTACTTCTTGTCGCGAGGCGATGTCTGCAGGTCTCACGTACTCGTGAGTGTGTGTAGTGTACTGGCAAAGCCCACGCGCTTGGTACCTTTTCCTGGACGTTAGTACAGTACCTTGCCTGTATGAATCACTTTTTGCGGCGTTCGTCCAAGGGCGCATCGCATTTTGCGTATTTGGTGGTGGGTGGGTGTGGGGTGATTTGATGTGGTTGAAACGGTGTTTGGACGGTCAACGGTCGGTCTCTTGGTTATTCCCGAGAGCGCGCAAATTTCATGATGCTTCTACTCGAGTAGAAAAAGACTGTGGACACCAGCTTCGATGCCCTGAAAACATCTTTCTTGTCGTCAAAGAATCTCTACGCCCACCATCGCTTCTACTTCCTTCGTGCGTCGATCTTTGCTTGGTTCTCAACATCACTCCTCTGTCTGGCCAGGGGTATTTGATCCGCTGCTGTCCGAGGCTCGATTCGTCAGAATGTGGTAAAATCAAGAACAGGAAATGAAAGAAAGTGGAAAGCAGGGCGACAAGGTAGATCCCGACGTGGAGACGATGTGTAGACAAGTTTGGAGGCGCTTGTTCGCGATCAGAAAAAACCAGGATGATCAAGATCGGAGACAATGCGGGATGTTTCCGACCAGTCTGTTCCGTGGCCGAAATCCGACCGAACTGGGGAATATCCATCCGTTGGAAAGGTGAAAACGATATCGAAATGAATCCTGTGGCCCTCGTCTTTGTGCCTGGTAGCGATTTGCAAAATAATTGCCTCTTGTGTGTCTGACATGCCTCGTGGTGTTCGAGATAGGAATCGTTGGTGATGTTGGTGGTGAGTGGCTTGCCCTAGCGACTACGGATGGTGGGGGTTCTGTTTCGCTGTCTCGGTACGGGTGGGGCCTTTTTCATCTTGTCCCCCAGAGCTCGTGCATGCCAAAGGCCGACCTCCGAGTCCTCACATTGTGTGCATCTCCCACATGGCAGCGAGGGACTGTTCTTGACTCGACTAGAATGGGCCCTGCAAGACCCGAAACTCCTCCACCAGAGTGATGCCCTTTCTGGCAAGCATCAGGCCCTTTGATTGCACGAGAACCAGTCGGATCGGTGTTGACAGTCCAACGCTCGCCGAATCCCGATTGGAACAATGTTTTGTTACCAAACAACGGTTTTGTGCCTTGCTGACCAAGCCATCACAGAAGGTACGTAGTCATCAAGTACGTAAAAAACAGGCAAAATCATCAGTCTCTTGGATCGATGATGCCCCTGTCCGAAAACCCTTCAATTGTATGCTCATGGGTCCGCTGAAAGTCCTTGGCATATCCTGCGTATCCATTTGTTCAGGTCCGTCTCCGTCTGAAAATGCCGAGAGTGTTCGGCGGCCAACCCAAGGTCCAAGCATCGCCTTTGAAGGATCATTGCGGAGAGCTCAGCTTCGGCGAAGCAGAACATAAGGCAGCCTACTATTTCGGGAGCACTGGTTACCATAAACTGGGGCCGTTACTTATCATTGGGCTGTCCGGCATGTTGACATTCCTCGGCCGAATCCTTGGCCCTTTGGGATACCAGTATCGGAAGGAGACAACATCGCATCGTAGCGTCGTACGACATTTGCCGTTTTCGTTGGTCAGACCAAGACATACTGTTCACACCGCCGAGGTGGCCTCCCATTCGCCATCATTAGGGACAGCGTTGCAGTTGCTGACGCCTGTCACAAGCGGTCACACGGTGTAGCAGCACCGAGGCTGCTGGAAATGATAATGTCTTGCCTCGTCCTGGGCTAGACCTCACTGATATATTCCTAGCGCACGGCATTCCAGTCATTGGGTAGGGTACCCAACCATAAAACTAGCGGCGACGATAACAACATCGTGATATCTCTGATCCCCGTCCCCCGGATCCTGGGCCAGGCGCGGTTCGCCACAGCCCTGTCGACATTACATTGTCCTCCGTGTGAGCATGCTGCCCTTGTATCTCCAACCCAGGGGCACGAGTGGACGGGCCTTGGCAATTGCTTGATTCTTTCTAGAATATGGCCGGAGAAACTGCGACCTCGGTCGGGCTTCAGTCCAGCACTAAATCTGCGCATTATGGGGATCAGCGGAACTACGCTACGGTGCATTGAACTGTACGGTCAACAGCACTTGCTCGTTCGTAATTGGTTTTGTAAACGTGAGTGGTTTTGGGTCTTGGTGCAATATGAGCTTAGGTGAGGGGTAAATGTAATGTGCTCAAAGGGGTACCCTGTGGTCGAGGTGGCTGGCGTCTGTTCTGTTCGCACTCGAGTGCGAGGCGGTAAGGTAGCGGCATGAGTCAGCCCGCCAGGGCCAAACCATTTTGCCGGCGCTGTGAAACGTCAAGATGGTATTCTCCGGTTGGCACATCCGAGAGTTTGGGATGCCGATGCAACAACGGTTGTCCTACACAGGCTGTCTTGATCTGCTTCCGCTATGGGCACTGATAGCGATTCAAGACATGAGAAGTGCATCTGTGCAACCTGGCAACGAAACAAGATGTTCGAGCTCCTCATATCGTCATTGTCGTTAGTAGGAGAGAGCTGATTTTGGCTTCTCCATGTTTGGTGCCGAAGAGCGAGACTTTGCCGAGCCTGGAAGCTGTTATCGAGTGGGGAATTTGAATCCGTGGCGTGATCATCCCTGAAGAGCGAACCAGCGAAAAACTGGAGACGACATCGACGAGTGATTCGGGTGATTAAGTTGAAGATCGTGTTAGGTGTATAGTGTAGGACTCATCCGTCGCAGCGATAATCATGAAGAGCATGCGTTTGGCTACGACGTTGATGACAGTCGATGGCGTTGAAGTGATGGGATTGCCAGAGAAAATCTCGAATTATGAGTCGAACCGTTCACAATCTTCGGAGCTGGGGCCGAAAGTGTCAAACTTCTTTCGCGTCGACTTGACGTCATCCCGTCTTGGTGGTCGCTGCGCCCTAGCGCCGGTAACGCTTGGCTGCAGCAATGCCGGACCCACAGTACCTAAAAAGCCAAGCATAGGTTGTCCGTCTGAACAATCCTCTTTGCCATCTTCAACCACAGCAGCTTCGGTACACCCGAGACAGCGAGTTTCAGCCCCTCAATATCCAAAGGCAGCAAGAGTGCATTCCACAGGTCATTTGACAACAAGACGTTTTGCCAAGCGATATGTGAGTAAGACTCCCGTGTCTCCCGTCTTGCCGTTTCTTGGCAAGGAACATCGTCTGGGGGTTATCTACACCTTAATACTGTGATATTGTTGTCTTAATGGCCGCCAAGCTCATATGCTTCTCCGGAAAGCGTCCAATTGGGAACATCATTCCAGTCCGAGGCCGCTTTGCCGGATCCAAGCATGTCAGCCAGCCATCAGTCTCCCATAATGCAGGGAGATGTGAGATCTAACACAGTCCGTACCGATCTCGATATGCTTCATTACGAGACATATCTCCTCCACGTGTCACTCTTAAAAGAATAGGCTGCCTCATTTTTGTCCTCGGCATCGCTGGTCTTGTTGTTAACCTTCGCCGCCTACTCTCAGCTCCCAATATCCAAGCCAGCCAAGTGCTTTCCGGGGAAGATCTAAGACAACCCTCAAACTATCATCTTTAAAACCACCCCTGTTCATACAATACTGACCTGGTTTGTTTGTCTAGCGCGGTACGGCCAAGACCATTATCGCTAGTCAGGTAATTATTCTTCCACCACGTGGAAAAAGGAATTTAGAAAAGACCCCGGAAGTAAAAGAGAGCGGAGACTTTACCTTAGATCTTAGTATCTCGGTAGGATTTCTTAGTAGTTAAAACCTCCTTATAAATATCTACTAGAGGTACACGCTAGACAAACAAACCAGGTCAATACTGTAGGTATCTTAACTTCGGGAAGTACCTCTGTCGGATCTGGAATATCGGAGCTCTCAGCCGAACTTGTCAGATTCGCAGGTCTGAGATAGAAACCAAGCACCCATCCTTGAAATCACACCCATCTCCATGTGTGTTAGCTCACACCCGCCACTCCTCAGCATTGATGGCCCTCAGCCGAGTCTATCAAATTCAATACACCTCCCAATTCTCTCTCAACTCCACGCTGCTTCACCATCACCACTATCAACCCTAACATAACCCATACCGACAAGGACCACCCTTACTCACACCCCTCCAAACAAACTCCGTTTCCTCGCACACAAAATCCCAGACTTGAGAAGCATCACAACAAAACAAAACAGGCAAGGTGGCCGAGCGGTCCAAGGCGCCACGTTAAGGGTCCTCCTTAATCCACGCCCATGTGTTGTTTCTCCCCAGCAACACGAGAGTTCCGTGGTCTCGAAAGGGGCGTGAGTTCGAATCTCATCCTTATCAATTTGGCCTTTTGTTTCATTGTTACTTCACACACATTGGGAGTAATTTCACCAGAGCCACATATCTTTCTTTTGTATCTTTGGCGTAGTTGTGTACACGATCAAGGTTGTTTCATGACCCGTGGTGGAGATGTGTTGCGTGTGAAATGAAGACGGGACTTAAGTGTATTGATAGTAGCTAGAGAGTATCTTGAAATTTCAAGTAAGGGCAAACCCCCGGGCCAATTTCAAAGAAGCTAAAATCCAATGGCATAACAAAAATGTAGAAAAAAAGAAAAGACTTGTATAGTGAAAAATAGATGAATGGTATAGCAAGGAAATCGACCAAAGGCATATAAGACGAAAAGTAAGAGACCATAGATTCCAAACGTAAACCTCACCCAAGCATCATCATTCTACTGTCCAATACTTCGAGAATTCCCTTCACTTCCTGTGAATATCAACCCTCGCGATAACCTTCTCAGCATCCGGCATCCTCGTGACGCACAAGGCCCTGCAAAAGGCACCCCATTCATCCTTGGTCCCCTCCTTGACAGCATCGCTCAAGTCCTGGCCATACTGCTCCCTAAACGCTCGCTTGACTTGCTGCATGTGGTTCACATCCCAGTGGTACCTCACCAGCCTCGAAATCAACAGTTCCTTCCTCAGCTCGTCCTTCTTCGACGCCTTGAGCGCGTGCTGAAGAAGCATGGCATCTCTCATCGGCTTGTTGATCACCCCATTCAAAATATGCGCCAGTACCTCGCCCTATCATCAATGTCAGTATATCCTCTTCCACTCACTTCGGAAATAGTGAAGAAGAAAAAAAACTCACCACAAGATTCCCACTCTTCCTCAACGCATCCTTGGCGAAATTGCCTCCTCTGCTGACATCCCTATACACCCTCATCACCTCCCTCAAGTGCTCCTCCCCCCTCCCAATCACAATTTCCAACATTTTACTTTCGCCCCCTTTCTCGCTCTTGACTGCCTTGTACAGATCCCTCACATCCTGCTCCACCAAGTCAGGATCAATCCTCCACCTCCTCTCCCTCGAATCCCAGACGTCCTCCGCCCTCTTCTCCTCCAGCACCATCAGCACCGCCTTCTTGAATTTATCCTCCCTCAGTTCCGTCCTCATCGCCCTCGTCAGGCTGTTCCCGTACTTCTTATCACTGAACCCGTCTTTGATCAGCCTAATTTCCTCGTTTGACCTCCCCATCAGCGATTCAATCAGCAGCTCCCGCCGCGTCTTGTCGCCGTGGTACCAAAAGTTTGCCCAGTACGATTCACTCTCCCAACGGCCCAGGGCGGTGGCGTAGCAAGCCTTCATCAGGTTGGGATCCTCGTCCTTTAGCCTGGCGCGGATGTGTTTGGCGATGTTGACCCCCTTTTTCTCTACGCCTGTTTTGACCAGTCGCTTGTACTCCTGTCGCAAATCCATGATTTGCTCGTGGGTCATGCCAGGGAGGATTTCAATGAGTGGTTCCGTCTCTGGCGGTCGACGGTCACCCTTTAGGGCTTTGGCCAGACGAGCAGCGTCGTCGACGGGGTCGTGGAAGCGGGCACGGCGCTTCTTCTTCTTTTCGGATTCGGAGTCGGACCCGAGCGGAGAGAGCGCCTCGAGGATGTGGTGTCCCGGAGAGGACGGCATCAAGAGGGGCGAGGGCATAGGGGACATGGACTGGTAGGTTCCATGGTAAGCTTCTAGCAGCGGTGAAGGGGGAGCTGAGGAAAGGGATAGGCTGTGATGGGGGCTGTGGACCGACAAGGTTGACATGCGGTTAGTTGGGGGGAGCGGGGAGGACGTCCTCTTCATGGCAGACCTCAGAGGAGATGATGGGCCAGGACTGGGAGAGCGGCCAGGGCGAGGGGCGGGTTCTAGTGAACTGCCGTAACGGTCTGTCTTGGGGACTGATCCGTATTCGTAAGGCCTGGGCTGGGCATAGCTGAACGATGGTGCCGATGCTGAGGGGTTCGGTATCGGGATGGGAATGGACTGAGAAACCGGAGCGTCGTACTTCGATGCCCCTGGTAGCTTGCCATACGCGAGATCGTCTTGGAGCTTCTCCTTCTTCTCCCGGCGACGGCGTTCCTTGTCGGAGTCTCTCCCGAAAGAATCACGAGAGTCCCTGGGCGAGGAGGGCTCAGCAGTCCTGATCTCAGGTGGATACCTCCGTCTCTGGCTGTCGCTGTCCGAGTCCCGATCACGGTCTCCTCTTCTGCCGCCGTACCGACCGTAGTCCTCTGGCGGTAGGTCGTAGATGTGACCTTGTCCTTGAAGGTTCACCACCGAGGGCGGTCGCGCGCCATAAAAGTCCTCGTCGGCGGCTGAACCCCACTGAGAGAGGCGCTCATATTCGCTGTATGCGGTTACTGTAGAGGGGGTGAAACCACGGTCGGTTGAGCTGTAGGGTGACGCTTCCACGATATTCGGATTCCGGCCCCGGCTTCGGTCTCGGTCCTCCGCAGGACGGCCCGGGGAACGGGACCGGGCACGTCTGCCGCCGTCGTCAACCTGCAGAGACATTTGGGTCTGGCTATTGCGGGAAATAAGCTCGCGCGGCTAGCTTGCAGCTGGCTGTGAGATGCCGGGTTTGAGCTTCCACACGGCAAAACTGTTTGTTGACTCGGAGTTCGGATGAGACCCAAAAATGCGGGGTGGGCTAATCGTTGTCAAACGCAGCGCCCGCTGTTGTTGGGGTGGTAAATGTCTTGGCGTCAAATATGCCGTTCCAGCAAAGTCGGTTTTTTTGCTGTGTATGCAGAGGGGGAAACCAAGAGCTTTTTAATATGAAGAAGAGAGAGTAAATTTGACCGGGGACGGTTGGCGACAGATAAAGACCAGGAAGGAAGGCTGAAGGCCTGAGGCAAGGCATGGATATCCAGGGAGGGGGTTTGTGCTGAGTTGGTCTTTTGGGATCACTCGTGATTGGGCTGAAGAGGCTGGGCTGCATGAGAGTCCCGTAAGCCATGAAACATCTGTGGGCATTTACCACGCCGCTCTCTGCATCCTGGATGAGAATCTCGATGTCTTATTCGCCGATGTACTCGTTTGTAATCTTAGCTCTCACACCCCGCATTCGCGAGCTCGACTTATGCAATCAACGCTGTGTCTACACCAGAAACACTCACGAGCCGCATGCCGATGTGGCTTGTGATCACAGTGAACAACCTCAAACAGCAAGTCGCGGGGGCTTGGCGATGGAATACTTGGCATCACGGGATGGGGAATGGCATCTCTTGGCTCGGTCGGGACTCCCGAACCCCGCATTTCCGGCGCCGATAACGCTAGGGCGGACCCCGGGGCGGCCGGACACAGCCCCGATTCCTTCTTGGCATAGATATCGAAGCAGGACTAAACGTCATAATAGATGTGATATAAATCATTCTCTTACCAGACACCTATATTGGTGAAGGAAACATGAAAGATGAATGTGCTGGGCTGAGTGTGTGGAACTGTTGTGAGACTCTCTGGGGCTCACATCGGCCCATTGCTGCGTGACCAACACCGAAAGGCACACGTGCTCCATTGCTGTTGTACGGAAATCTTGTATTTCCATCGGTGTGTAAGCGCGAGATATGTGAGGGAACCTATAAGATGAAGTATATTGAGATTTGTAAGTTATTTCAGGTAAGCAAGCTTCCTCTCGCTTGCCTGAACGCGGTGACAAAACAAGACACCCTGGTGCTCCGATCACCATAATCTTTGACTCATCAATGATGAGCCCAGTGTGCGAATTGGGGGAAATACTGCGTCGACTTTTACCAGAACGGATATCCATACAGCGCAACTTCGTACCATGCTTTATCGACCATCACAGCAAGCTCTTCTTCTCATCTGACATATCCTGGGCCGGCGTCGGAGTAGGATCTGACTGAATAGAGCACACCTCTCGAACTGGACTCTCATCTAACCGAATTTCACCTCGTTCTTGTCTACCGTGTATCAGTTAGTGAAGCTCCTTGAATTCCCTCCATCAGTCAGGCCTCACCTTCTCATGTAGCTCCCCCAAGTCTCAACCATTATCACCACCAAAAGAAACGATGTCGCCAAATAAATGATGAGCATATCGTTGTTCTCGCGCATTATCCTCCCCTGGCGGCACGGCATTCCTGGACGCGCGAACGTAGACAATGTGATATCAACCTCGGTCTCGGTAACTTCCAGCAGGTCTTCATCGCCCAGTGCTATGACCGGTGCGTCCATGTCATCCTCTGACCATAGCTCCGCGGGTCGATGTTTTGTGAGTGGCCGCAGTTGTGGTGAACCGACTTCTATTGGTGTCTGCGCAGATCCGTCTTGACTCCTCTCCGAGATGACACTGGACAGCTCGCTTGACCGAGACTGGAGGACAGTGACCACCCCATTGACAGCATCCGAGAAGACCTCCAAGCGCTCCTTTAACACAACAGGCACAGGTGAGCATGTTGCCAAATGCGCAAGGCCGAGCGCAATGTAAATCCCGGACCACCTCATTTTGAAAGGCGACTGAGTTCGACAACGCTGCCTCGACGGATCCAAGAGTCCACGGATTAGTCGCCTCTTTTCAAGAGCAACCCGACGACAAAGAACAAAGAGCGGTTCGTCGGGCCCGAAACGGGAGGCTGTAGTGAAATAAACCAAACAAAGCAGGAGCAAATAGTTGTAGCTCGGAAAGGGAGCTTGCCGAGGTGCAATGATGCGCAGTGATGAGGAAATTCAAAGGTCAGCGAGGCCGGGTAATTGGCAGAAGCAAGCCCAGTCTGGGGAAGATGCCGACCGTAACATGTAAAAGCCAGGAAAACACCAAATAGAATCTCAAGCAAATGCAGCAGGCTAAATTGAGGAAGAGGAGAAATTGGGCTTGCAAACGCCGTTACACGGGACTCGGAGCAGCTGAAAAGGATGGCGTGTGGCCCGGCGGAAGTAGGTGGGTGGTTGGGCTTTTATGAAAGAAGCCAGGACCAGCAGGGCACTTCACGATGGCGTCGAGCTCGTGGAGAACGGAGCATAGGCAGGGTGCACCAAGCCAGCGGGCC